GAAAATGGCCCTGCAATGTATGCCAGATGAGTTTTCAAACTAAAATTGGACTGGGACAACATAAAAGAATTGCACATCCAGCAGTCAGAAACCAGGAGAGGCTAGAAGCCATGAGACCAAAAGAAACATCAGCAAGAGGAGCCCACAAGAAATGCTGGAGTGAAGAGGAGGAAAATCTGCTAATCCAACTAATAAAACAATATGAGGGTAATAAAAACATTAATAAACTGATTGCTGAACACATCCCATCCAAAACTGCAAAACAAATCAGTGACAAGAGATGCTATCTGATGTTAAAACAACAAGCCTCAATTGGATTACAAACTAACAGAAAAACAGAAGAGCAGCCACAGGAAAAAATTCAAAAGCCATCAAAGCGTAAAGAAACCACAATAAAGCAGTTGAAAAAACACTAGGAAGATATTATCCCATCAAAGATCAGTGATGGCACCTTCATTTTGTATCAGGAAGCCTTCCAAGAAATTCTCAAAAAGAAAAATAAGAATCCCACCCACACCATTAGTGAAATAACCAAAGACTGCATGAAGGTATTTAAAGAGATGCACAGCTGGGAAAAGAACACGGCCTCGTCCGTGGGGCTGTGCCTGGCTGTGCTGCTGGAGCTCCACAGGGACCTGATCTGCAAGGCTCTGTCTGCTGTGGCCACCTGATCCAGCAGGCATTCTCCATTTATTTCAAGACTGTTCTTTTATCATTTTTCTGTAGTGTATAAATAAAAGATGTGTTCTAATAAACAGACTGCAAGACTGTTCTTTTGCTGCCCAGGGTCTGCAGGGCATAGGGGAAGAGGGGGAAAAGGGTCTTTGTGCTCAGCAAGCTGCCCAGGTGTGCAGTGGTGCAGGGAAAATGGCCAGAAGCCCCTTGGCCTTTGGTGGTTCTGCTGAAGGCACAAGCCCTGTCCCAGCCTGGCAGCGCCGTCTGTGTCCTCCTGCCCATGTGGTGCTGGCTGGATTGCTGAGGGCTCCCAGGTGCATCTTGATCCAGCTCCATGAGCAGCCCCCAGGCTTGATTTGCCTTGTTCCTGACAGCCGGCTGCTCTGGTGCTTCCCTGGAGCTCCAAATTGGAGCAGGTTTATCTGAGGGGGGTGAGAATGCCAGGATGTGCCAGGACCAGAGCCCTGGGGTTTCCAAGGAAGAAACCATCAATCCCCTTTTCCAGGAGATCCCAACCCTCTGAATCACACTTGGGATAGAGAATAGCAGAATGGCTGGAGTGCTTAAGACCGGAATGCTGGGAAAAAACCTGATCTTTAATGAACCCCATTTCCTGATGGGAAATAATCCAGGATTTCAGTCCCTGGAACTGGAAAAAGAAGGAAATGTTTATTTGGGAGGTGCCATAGGTGCTCCTGGATGGGGGATTTCCCTAATCCATCCTTCCCTGATTGAGGAATGGAAGTTTGTGGGATGAGCCAGGATTAAGAGACCCCTCCCTCAGGTGTGTGATCCAGGATTTTTCTGCTTTTTCCCAGCCCAGGTTAGCCATGTGCAGCATTCCAGAGGGATGGAGCTATCATGTTTGTAATCCATGATTTTCCCATTTTTTCCCCAGTTGTTCCCAGTCCAGATGAGCCATGTGCAGCCTTCCAAATGGATTGGTTCAAACCAGGAAGGATTTTATCCCCCATGGGAATAAACCTGGGCTCCAAAACAGTCCCAGAATGGCAAAATCACAATTTTAGCAGCTTGGTTCAAACCAGGAAGGATTTTATCCCCCATGGGAATAAACCTGGGCTCCAAAACAGTCCCAGAATGGCAAAATCACAATTTTAGCAGCTTTTTCCAGCTCCACATTGGAGGAACTCATGGATCTGCTGGATGATGGGTTCTCATCCCAAATAATCTGCCTGTTTGTCGAGGAACACTCTGGTGATGGTGCTGATACAAGTTGTGCTGATCCAGTCTTCTGAGAGTTTTGGGGATTTTTTTGGGGGCGGGATTTCAGGTGTCTGAGACAGCGGGGAGTGAGGCAGGAGAGAATCCAGATCCAGAAAAATACCGGATAGTGCTGGGAATGGAGAAATCGCAGTAGAAACAAGCACAAAGGAACTGGGAAAAAAAGCATTTTTAAGAAGGGAAAAAAAGGATAACATTCCAACCAAATGCACTGGATGTGTATGGATGCTGAAAGCAGGCAGGGGGCACAGAGCCTGTGTGAAACTAAGTCACACAGGCTTCTCTCTCTGGCCTGGGAAAGCATAAGAAGGAATCCCAACAGTTCTTGTTAAAGGACACCAATTGGCAGGTGTTGTTTAGTCAAGGGCTGGTGTTCCACTTAAGCAATGAAGGTGATGTGTACCTTTAATGAGCAATGGGAGTTTTACCTCTCAGACCTTCTCAAACATGTGTATAAAAGAAGATTAAGAATAATAAACTTTACTCTCTTGGACAATGCAGCTAAGAGAGTCAGTGTCGTACTCCTCGCCATTCCTAATACAGTGCAAGAGAAAAGAATAACTTGGAGGTGGAATAGGAGAAATTCCAACACAACAGGTTACCAAGGCCTGGGAGGGCCCAAATTTTTCATTTTATTTGGGAAATTTTTTTGTGTTTATCAATGTTATTGCATTTTGGTTTTTTCCAGGAAAATCCCGGTTTCTTTCTGATGGGACTTGCAGTTGCCTCCTGTTCTTGTAGTTCTGATTTTGCCCATCCTCATTCCCAAAAGTTTTTCGAAACTTCTGTAAAATGATGAAAATGATGCCTTTTTTCTTTCTCCTTACTTGTGATGCTATTGCAGTGAAAAGAAGAAGAAAAAACACTGATAAGAAATGGTAAAAAAAAAGATAAAAAGATCAGCATTTTACCATGTATCAGTGCTTGGCTATTTGTTTTAAAGCTTTTTTGGCAAATGTTCTTTTTGCTATAAAATAGAATTATATGAAGCCCTGAAGAGGTTTAAAAAAT